TGTATGTTACCTGAAGCCAAATCTAACTTAAAATCAACCATCACATATTTAAAACAACTATGTACAATCTTTTATAACCACATTATTTTAAAGGGTTTTTACCCAAATATTTTGGTGGCTTAGTCATTTCAACCTAGTGTTTTTAAACCTGATGATGGAATTGTCATTCCGAAAACGTTTGTGTTTTTAATGTAGCCCTTTTAAGGGTTTTTTAATATACTAAGTGACAAAGATTAACCTCTTTTTTTTGTGATACGTGGTATACAGTGGTATACGTGGTATATGTGGATTTAGTTTAGTTCCTGATATGGTACGCGAAGAAGAAGAAGAAGAAGAAGTAAAAGTAAAAAAGTAAAACTCTTAAACGTTTCGTTATTGAGAACATCAGTTTAATAATTTTCATTTAAAATTCTGTTAAATTTTGTCACTCTTTAAGGTCTTAAGGTCTTGAAGGACTGCACACTTTATAGTCAGTGCCGGTTTAACAAAGTCTGCCCCGTGCGATACAGTACCGCACCCAGGCTCAAAAATATTTCTTAACTTTATTTCAATTTAACAAAACATATTTTGAATACAAATTTATTAAAAGAAAAACAATTACAACTTTTTTGGTTTCAAACTTAAATGACTACTAAGAAAATACAAGAAAATAAATTTAGGGCGAACTTCGAAAAGTAAAATAAAGATGTACAATGTAAAATAAATGTACATTCAAACAGGTAATATGAGGTAGGTCACCAAATTGCATTTCTTAAGTAGATCTTTACTCTTTTTAGTGTCGACAAAGAGCGTTCGCCTCTTGCATTTGCGACCATTATGTAGAAAAAAATATGCAGGCAAATATTAAAGTTTGGAAACGAAGATATTAACTTATTTTTGTATAAAAACTTTACCAATTCTAAAGGAGTGTCTATTTTAAATTGGGGAAGAGACATTAACAAATGCTTCAAATAAACACATTCTTGGGTAAATTACTCATCCAAATCCTTCTTATATTTTTGTTGTAATTCGGTTGCTGATCTGAAAATATCTTCATCTTCTGTAGTTTTTAGTTTAAACAAAAACTCAAATGCTCTTGAACACGATTTATAACCAATAGATCGCCAAATAATCTCCAACTTAAGATTGTCTATTATTAAAACATAACATTGTGTTCGCAGTTTTTCTTTCTGGCTTAGACCTACCTCCGAATTCTTTTGCCCTAGTTGCATTTTTTTTATAATCTCTTCTCAGCATAATTTTCGTTCACTGTTAACATCATTCCTAAGGCCTCGTAGCGATCGAAACGATCACGTAGGAAATCATAATAATCTGCTAAAGATGATAACAGATGAGCGGTTGTGCTTAAATCCATATTTTCCTTTTGTCTGTTTTATTAACATCATTAACCGTTTGTAAAATGTCACGCCAGAATGATAAAATTATTCCGTTTACCCACAAAGCAAGTTTTTTCCGATACAGAAGCTGCTTCAACTCTGCTACTTCTTCTTCTTAACATGCCATACACCAAAGTGCGTAGGCGACTATCTCATTACTAGAATTCTGTTCTTGGCGGAGTGACACAGCTCACCTGTATTGTGTATTTCTGTCCATTCTTTAATATTCCTTAACCAGGATAATTGTTTGCGGCCGGCTCCTCTCCTACCTACGATCTTCCCTTGTAGGATTAACTGTGGTATTTTATATTTTGCTCCTCTCAATATGTGCTCAAGGTAACCAATCTTGCGTTTTTTAATTAATTCAAAGAGTTCTCTTTCCACGCCGGCTCTCTTAAGGACGTCATCGTTTCGAACTCCATCCACCCAAGGTTTGAGCAATATATAATCTAAGGTTAATTTGTTATATCACCAACTTCTTAGAAATCAATAATGCTATCGTTATAGTTATTTGGTTAAAACAAGAATGAAATCAATGGGGCGAAATTTTAAAGTAGATATGCAGGCACTTTGAGTTAGTATTTTGTTCAGTAAGAATTCATTCATTCTTGAAAAATTTACTTAGTTTTATAATATAATAAGAAGCGAAACGATACCATAAGGGTACTAGAGTGGCTGATAAAAAAATATGGATACAGAAATCCCTCCCCACTGAATTGAACTCCATTTGAATATTGGAAGAGAAAAGTTTTTGATGACTTCTAGAAACTGCCGATTAATGTAGTCTACTACTTTACCAAATACAATTACATAAAAACTCACTAATATCTCAGTCGATCTTAATGTTAGATTATTTTCACGTCTCGACGTGCTAGAAGCTATGCTATAGCAACCAGGGAATCAATATTATCAAATCATAATCCAGAATTTATTTAATAATAATTATAAAAATCATTATTAAATGGACGGCGTTATGCATAACTCGACCAAGCGCCATTTCTTTAAAATCGAGATTTCAACAGATTCGGGTGACACATAGCTAAAACTATCTTGGAAAAAAATCCCTGTTATTGTCACGTTAACGGTCGCTAAAATAAACAAAGTTAAACCAAGCGACATTCTGTCTATGAAGGATTTTTTGTTTTGCATAACAAGACTATATTCTTAACTGCCATTCTTAGTTTTGCAATAATAGACTAAGCGCCGACTAAGCGTCTTTGGTCTGGTTATGCCAAACTAAGCTGTCTGGTTAGAATAACATTAAATTTGTTTAATACTCAAGCAAGTATTATATTGTGTACGCAAATCAAAGTATTTTAACTGTATTCTTATTCGTTATTGTGTATTATCTGTTACTGAACTTTTAAATTGTGGAATTATCTTCAAATATAAGCAGGTTTCAGTCGAGAACAGAAAAAATGGTTGCACTTTGTTTAAACAACAAAGCAGCATCTTTACAGGTAAGAAACTATAGATAAGTTTCTAGGTTAACCTCAAAATTCATTTTAGACTATGTATTATAACAGAATCAGTTTGTTAGAGATTTTGCAAATGTAAATTCTATAATGGATCGGAATATTCTTTATTTCTATCAGCTACATATGCTGTTTTTTTTTAGGAAAATGAACAAGATACACATACTGAGGAACTAACCACAACTTCTGTACTAGATACTACACCAACATCCTTAACGGCAGATATTGCTACATTCGCTGCTTTAAATACTAAGAATTTATGTGAATTGCTACCTGTAAGTAATATGTTTTGATCTAGAGAAAACTCTGCCTCTTCCTAGAATCCCGACTAATATAGTCTATTATAAAAGGCAGTTGTGTGTGTACAACTTAGGCATACACAGTGGACAAACTAACAAAGGACATTGCTATGTTTGGATTGAAGGAGAAGCAGGTATTGGTGCTCAAGAAGTTGGCAGCTGCCTTAGAAAACACATTAAAGAAAATGTGACTTCCAAGAAATTAATCCTTTGGTCTGACTCATGTGGTGGCCAAAACCGCAACATCAAGATTATGTTAATAATAACAACAGTTTTGGAAAGTCACCCTACTCTTGAACAAATTACATTGAGGTATCTTCTCCCAGGACACAGTTTTCTACCTAACGACTCAGATTTTGGAGATATCGAATCTGCACTCAAACTGCAACAACGGTTGTATACAGTAAATGATTACATCGAAATTATGAAAGCATGTCGTAAAAAAAAACCTTTAGTTGTGCACAGAATGACAAATGAAGAGTTCGTGGGAACAGAAATATTGGAAAAACAAATTACCAATCGTAAAACTGATGTTACAAATGGTAAGGTGAGTTGGCTCAAAACAAGGGAAATTAACATTCAAAAAGAAAAACCTCGTACTATTTTAATGAAAAGTGACTTTAATCAGGATACTTTCATATAAATGATATTTCTAAAAAACAAGGGAAAGGAAGACCCATTATTGAATATCTCCGCAATTTTAGTGAACACTTGGTTCAACTCTGGCCACAAGGTAAACCTATTTCTAAACCAAAATTAGACGATCTAAAATCTTTACTGCAATTTATACCATTTGATGCAAAACCAGTGTATAGGTCCTTATTTAGTAACAATGATGTTGAAGATGACATTGAAGGATTTAATGGTGAACTTGATTTTCCAATAGATGACCAATAAAGTTAGCAATCTAACAAACTGTATATTTTTCTTGGTATTTTTTTGTAATGATTCTTTCCAATGTGTAGATTAAAAATGTTTTTTTTTATTAAAATGGTTTTCTTTAGTTTTCCTCTTTTTAAAACTTTGTATAACTAAATTTTTTTATTGATATAATTTTATTTGCATTAGAATTAACACTATTGAATGGTAAAATAAATTTAGAGCAATAAAAGGTAAAAAAAATATATTCAATGATTATAGAATTAATTATGTTATAGCAATATACGTTTAACATAAAAATTTTAAAAATACTAGTTTTATTTTAGTGATTACAATAGCCCTATCGCAGTATTTTGTTTTGCATTAATAGACCAAATGACATAAATGGTAGTTGGTCTAGTAATGTATAACGACTAAACTTCCTGAAATATATTTAAAGCATAAGTAGACCAAGCGCCATTTTATTTTTTTTTCGAGAATATGGTAGGTGCGATTATATTGAAACTTTGCAGCCAAAAATAGTTGTACGTGATCATTCTTCTGCTAAAATTTTGTGCAAATATATTAATAAATGTATTTTTAAGAAACGAAAAACTTTGAACCCATTTATCTCAAAACTATGTTTTGGCGCTTGGTCGAGTTATGCATAACGCCGTCCAAATCATAATCCAGAATTTATTTTATATAATTATAAAATAAATTCTGGATTATGATTTAATATTATTCATTCCCTGGTTGCTTTAGCATAGCTTCTAACACGTCGAGACGTGAAAATAATCTAACATTAAGATCGACTGAGATATTAGTGAGTTTTTATGTAATTGTATTTGGTAAAGTAAATTAATTAAAGTAAAGTAATTAATCGGCAGTTTAATTGTTCCATTTTTTTTTCCAAATATTCAGTTTTTCTAAATTTATTTATAATATTTCCAACGAGATATTCGATAAAAAATTTTTCTTAATTTTTTTAGATCATGAGTATGGAGGACTTTAGTGGTTTACACGAAATACCGAAACAAAAAGACCACATCAACCACCATAATCATTCATCGGAAACAGAAAAAGTAGGCACTGATCCAAATTTTAAACGAGTTATAGTTTGGAAAAATGCAATAGGATTTCTTATGATTCACCTGGTGGCTTTATATGGATTATTTTTATTGCTTACATTTCGAATAAAATTTTTCACATTCCTTTGGGGTAAGTTTTTTAATAACCTACAGGCATACACCATATTCATACATTATTACCTTCTTATTGATATATTCGATAATGATAATTAACTTTACTTAAATTTGATCATTTAACACAAATTGGTAATTTATAAAAACCACGCTGCAAAATACGGCAAATGAAGTTTTGGGTGAGGTACACAAAGGGCCGCGAAACAACTGGTTTGATAAGGAATGCAAACGAGTAACCAAAGAGAAGAATGACGCATGTCTGAAAATCATCAACAGATAGGAGCAATGTTGAAGAATATTCAGTAAAGAGAAGAGATAAAACACAAAAGCACAAACAGAAAAAGCGACAACAAATCAATAAAGAGTTGGAAGAAATGAAAAAATTAGATAGAGAACACCAACACAAAAAAATTTAAAAATAAGTAACACAAAAGAAAAGTTTTGTACTTTTTTGAAGGTAGTACTGAAAAGGTGGCAGGAACATTTTATTAGGCTACTTAATGGAGAAAGTAGAGCTAAAGTAGATATGATATGAAACTAGAACAGAAGAAAACTGAGCTATTCTTTGTTTCAAGTTAAGAAAATAACATTACGCTTATGGAGATCAGTGTTGCCAAAACTCTCAGACACTCTCTTTCGCACGGATGTCCAAGATATTCCCTTTGCTTAATTTTTGAATTTTCATTTTCAATTAACATTTAACTGTAAAGTCAGAATAACTACTAAATAAAAGCCTTATTATCATTATGTAGTCAGAGAACGACATAAAAATAGCTGACATACGCATATCGTATTATTTTAAGTTGCAATTAGTAATTAGATTATACGCATTCCAAGCGGTCAATATTTTCTACTGATTTCTATGATTCATGGCATATCGTATTCTCACCGAAAAACAAATAAACTGTCGTTACTATAATTAAAATAAGATAAAATAAAATTATCTTTTGTAAATACTATTTATTTAATTAAAATCATTTTCCGCAAATCGCCAGGAAATTTTGACATTCCTGTCAAAATTTCTTGAAGAAAAAGTCAGGACTTCCTTACTGTAAGGAAATGTCATTTCCTTACTGCAAGGAAATAATATTTCCGTACAGTTGTTAGTGTTCTACATAAATAATTGTCAAGTTTGACAATTCAACTCAATACGTTTCCATAGTAACCCAAGTAATTTTATTAGGAATTTCAAAGCACCATTTATTTGGGAATAAAAATTATCGCGTTTTTTTTTTTAAATCAATCAATATCTGTCGAATTTTAAACGATTTGCGGAAAAATAGTATGTTTACCTCGTAGGAAAAGCCACATTCCTGGACTCTGTGTTGCTAAGTCTCGGCTTGCGCCTCGACTTAGCAATCTTCACAGTCGTCCAGGAATGTTAAGCTTTTTCTACCCGGTAAACAATGTACTATTTCCCTACTTTTCATCTCTTGTTTCGAATGGGCACTTTTGGTCAAATTACGTTAAAAAACATTAATTTAATTCATGTTTGTGGAAACGAAAAATACAAATTATACAACCCTAAATTGTGCTTGTGTGTGTCGTGACAACGCCGCGTTGCTATCGTCCATAAGAAATACATGGCCCTATCTCCGCAATGTTATTTTCTAAACGTGGAACGTAGTATACCACCTTTGGAAGAAATGAATAAATTAATTAAAGCTACTCTCTAGCTACAAACAAGTCACTCTAAAGAGACAATCTACCCACAGAAATATTCAAATGTGACAGTCAAACATTTGTTACCCTTTTTTACAAACTATTAATACAGGTATGGCAAGAACGTCCTTTACCAGAAGATAGAGATACTGGATTTATATGTCCCATACACAAAAAAGAAACGTGCTTAACTCTTAAAACTTCAAACGGATTTACCTTTTTAATACGGCATACAAAATGTTGTCCCTGATACTTAAATAACGACTAGCACAGTATACTATCAGTATAAAAGAATCAAACAAATTATTATTTATGACACTAACATTAACAGGTCGTTGTCTTCTTGGGAAAGACGTGTGCTAAAGCCAAGAAAAGAAACAGATTGGTTTCTAAATGTAGCCAATAAAAAGAAGGTATTTTACTCTCTTCAGCAAAAATATTGACGAAGGAGGCTGGATTTGAACGCGTGTCGACATTAAAAAAGAGATCCGAGTGAAACTTCCGGTGAAACTATATCAAGATGGCATCCAAGATAGAAAAATGTCATTACTAAAAGGAATATGTAGACCGAAATTGCTTCTTAGTGAATAGAGTATTAAAATACTGTAATACACAAGAAAGAAGATATCTTTGAAGCCTATAAGAGAAGCGTAAAGGAAGTATTCTTCTAGGTATAGCGTATACAATATTCTTCACTATACTGCGTTTTCACGTCAAGTACTTCTTGAAGCAAGCAAATATCTGTTAAAGGTCTTTTTAAATTTTTAGAAGACAAAAAAGACACAAGATCATATTTTTTTATTTATCTACCATATAAAATATACAGGGTCGATCGGATAGCCAAACGGGCTGGGCGGCTGGCTTCTCCTTCGCTTCAATGCGAGAGATGTCAGTTCAATTTCCCAGCTCGGTGTACAGAAAATAAAAAGGCTAACGCAGCAGTTTAAAATTCTAAATGAATCTACGGCTTAGTCTAGAATATGCTGGTATCTGATCGGCCTATGGTGGAGCAGTACGGCAAGAGATAAGGGCTTGCGACTCAGTGATACTCCTCCATAGATCCCTACCGGATACATATATATATATATATATATATATATATATATATATATATATATTATATATATATATATACAGGGTGTTTCAAAAAGGAATGTCATAAATTAAATTCCTCATACCGGGGACAAAAATAAATTGAAAATGAGGTTTAAATCTTTGTAAGTGTGTATATTAAAAAAAAAAAAACTTAAAAGGGCTACATCAAAATAACAAACGTTTTCGGAATAATAATTCCATCATCAAAAGCAGGTTAACATGCCTGCGTCACCAAAATATTAGGGTAAAAACCCTTTACAGTTATTAAAGTTACCAAAGAATGTACAAATTGTTGTTAAAAATGAATGATGTTTAATATTTTATTAGATTTTACTTCAGGCAACATACAACCATGCCTTACGTGAGTACCAGCGTCCAGAGGGTAGACCTCTTCAAACGGACTTCAGCTGGTAACTCTGGCATGTAAACCTGCTTTTTACCTGATGATGAAATTATTATTCCGCAAACGTTTTTTATTTCGATATAGCCCTTTTTATGGGTTTTTTAAACTTCTTTAAACAATCTTTAAACAAAGATTTAAACCTCTTTTTGTGATACATGGTATACAACCAGCTGTAGGAATTTATTTTCCTTGTGGATCTTGTAAAAATAAATTGATTGAATTCAACTTACCTTGGTACAAAAGTGTACACAAAAAAGTTACAGCCCTTTGAAGATACAAAAAAAATGTTTTTTGCATTATCTCTTAAACTACTTGACATTTTCTAATAAAAATGGACACGTTACTTTATTGTTATGAAAGCATCATTCATACAAAAAAAAAAACAACAAAATCTAAGCGCACAGAAAAATTTTAAGGGGGTGTGCAGCCCTAAATCCCCCCAAACTTTTGAGTACGTTCAAATCAAATGAATTTTGTGGCATCATCATTTTAAAACATTTTTGCCTCTCATCACTTTTTCGAAAAACTAGTTTTTTCCTAGTTGGCCATAAAATTACAATTAGTTTTTACGGTAGTTATACATTAATTACAAACAGTTCCATCAAAATTTTGATATTACAATGGCCTACACATTTCAGGAAATTGCAGGTATGCATTTAACTTCATTAGATCAGATTAAATTATAATTTCAATAAACTATCGGGAATATCGTAGGTGAATGTTAAGGAAATAGTGCAGCAGCCGCAAGGCGTTATGCAGTAAAATACCCCAATCGAAATACACCCCATAGATGATTAGTTCTAACCATTGATCGTCGTTTAAAGGAAAATGATACATTCCAACCGCAAGTTGCTGGCAATAGTGGTCGTCCAATAATGGATGTAACTGATGAAGACAGTTTAGAAATCATTAAAGAAGTTTATGGAACAAGTATAAGGGTAAATAATAATTCGCTCCATAAAAAGGGAGCGAAAGATTTATGTAGCAACTATCGCACAATTGCTCTAATTGCGCATTGCAGTAAGATACTCTTACACATAATTCTCGAGAGGATAAAGCCCTTTTTACTACCTAACATTGCGGAGGAACAAGCAGGTTTCGTCCCAGGACGTGGGTACTAGAGAACAAATTTTAAACGTACGGCAGATTGTAGAAAAATCCAGAGAATTCAACATCACAACATATTTGTGCTTCATAGATTATAGTAAAGCTTTCGATTTGGTCAACTGGAGTAAAATGTGGCAGGTTTTGTCTGAAATGGGAGTCCCTAATCATCTGATACTGCTAATTAAAAGCCTGTACAATAACAATTATGCCAGAGTTAGAATAAATGGGGAACTAACTGACAGTTTCAGGGTCACAAAGGGCGTGAGACAAGGCTGCATACTAAGCCCAATTTTATTTAACATCTATGGTGAATGGATAATGCGGAAAGCTACTGAGGACTGGAACGGTGGCATCACCATTGGCGGGAAGAAGATTTGCAACTTGAGATATGCAGATGATACTACTATCCTCGCTAGTTCTGAAACTGAATTGATTCACCTGCTACAACGGATAGAAGACGTAACCTTATCGATGGGCCTTAAAATAAACAGGGATAAAACGAGAATCATGATAATTGACAGAGCTAACAACAATCAAAATCATCTGGTTAGGATAAACAATATCGCTGTTGTAGATAAATTTGTGTATCTGGGCTCATTAATAACCAACAAAGGAGGCTGTACTGAAGAAATAAAGCGGCGGTCAGCAATCGCAAAAAGCGCTATGGCAAAATTAACAAAAATTTGGAAAAGCCATGAAATTACTACCGATACAAAAATGAGACTAGTAAGAAGTCTAGTTTTTCCAGT